GATCTTTCTCATGGAAATACTAGTGTCAATACAATAGGAAAGTTTTAATTGAATGTTTTCGATAAGAAGTAGAAAGAATTTCGATTTTTGAACGTAGTTTTTCTTCCATCAAGTTGCTATTCCAGTAGAGAAAAAGCATAAAAACATCAATATTTCATCCTATTTGAAGTCGATTCCTTCGATTTTCTTACTTTTGATATCTAATTGAATTGGCATCTAAACAAAAATTTTAAGTAGAATAAATTTTAACAAGATAATATCATTAAAAATTTACGCTCGACTTTGTTGAACATCTATCAAATACTTCACACCATTAGATTCAATATTATTTCCACGAAGTTTGAGTGTACATAATATCTGAAAATTATTATGATATGAGCAGAATGAAATTTTACATGCATCTATGTCACCGTATTATGTTTTAAGGCATCTGCAATATAAAATGCACCTTCATCTCCAATATCATTTGATCGAAGGTCTATGTCGAAAAGTGCCTATAATCAAATTCAGATTTTTATGTAGAAAATTTAAAAGAAATAAAAACATGTTACGGTTGACTTTTTGATCAATGAAGCCCAGTATTGTGCACCTTTTTCATTTATTTCATTTGAAATAAGGCTGAGACTCTTTATGGTCTACAGAAAATCAAGAAAAATAAATATTATGAAAAATTTTTTTATTAAAGAGTTACTGTATTCTTTTCTAAACTGTTGGAAAAATAGTCAACAATATGATCTTGTATTCCATAGAGTTGAGCTTTAATTCGGTAGAACTCTAAATAAATAATATTTTACAATATATAATAGTATTAAATAAGAATCTATTAATTGCGTAGTTACGATAAAAATGAGTAATGTGTACAATAGCTTTACATTCAGGATTTTTATCTTCCGAAAGCAAAAGTGTTTCTAAAGTCTACAGATGCAAATTCGAGTTATTAATAGGAAATTTAAACAAGAAAAATAATTTAAAATCTAACCGAGTTCTTTTTGAGTGCTTCTACAAAATATAGTGTATATTCATCTCTAAAATCGTTGTTTCGAAATTGTAACATTTTAAGTACCTAAGAAGTATAAAAACAAAACGAAATCAAGAATGATAACAATAATCATCAATAGTTACTCGGTTGTTTTCTAAAGTCTGAGCCAAATATTGAACTCCTTGTTGTCCAATCTTGTTATTTTCAACAGAAAGGCGGGTCAAACTCTGCATATAAGTCAAGATCTGAATGATAGAAAAAGAATTCATGATTCATAACTACTCGATAATGTTTTAATATTTCGGCAAGATATTGTGCTCCTTCGTTATCGATTTGATTATCATCGAGATCGAGTTTATTCAATGCCTTGTGTCAAATAATTAAAAAAATGAACTTTAACAAAATTAGTACTAACAGATTACTTTTGCTTTCTTCAAGCTCTCAGCAGGAAATTTAACACCTTTAGCTCCAATATTGTTCATGTTAAGTTTAACTTCAGTAATTGTCTACGATAGACAATATTGAAAGTGGAAAATAATAATCATTAGTAATTACTAAATTCGTTTCAAGAATATGTGTCAAATATTCAACTTCTTTATCTCCAATACGACAATTTGGAAAAGACATTGAAGATAAAGTCTATATATGAACATAAACAGTGAATAATCAATGAAATAGAGTTATAGATAATATAGATAACGTATGATATTGTAATGATTCAGTAAGACACTTTATCCCTCTCTCATCAATGGAAAACAAAATTACCAGAAAAAGATATAAATTGAAGAAAAACTAACTTCATTCATTTGCCAAGCATTAGCAAGTGCTTCTATACCTTCGTCGTTAATTTTATTTCTACTTAAATCTAACACTGCAAGAGGCTGTCAATAATAATTAGAAAAAAATCCATCAGAATCACTAATAAACCATTATCATATTGTTCTCTAACATTTCAGCCAAATATTTTGCCCCAGTATCAGTTATATTATTATCACTTAGATCAATTGTGTGAACGATTACGTGTCTTTCGAGAGTTTCCCCGGAAACTCAATTATGTCCTAGGGCTATAGATATAGAGATAGATAGGTATGGGGATGCGGGAGTTATAGGAGATATAGGTGATACACGGGATATAGGAAGTATGGGGGCATAGAAGGCATACTACCAAAGACAATATAATTGCAAGTAGTGTTTTTCATGTAACCTTTCCAAAGGACAAAATAGAAACGTGCGGTTTTCACAATCAGAAAGAGAAAATCTAGACGCATCCAATCATATACTATAGACTTCTCGACCTGGTCTTTCTACAGATTTCAGCTAAAAGTTTTCTAAAAGAGCGTTCTTGATGCGTCACTACAACCAGTTTTCCAGTGCCTGATATGTATTGAAAGCGACTATTGAAGATCTATAAAACAAAGCCCTGCTCAGATACTAAGCTTCAGCTGTTCACGGACTAGAAGTATTGCATTGAAAGGGGGGAACCGGCATTCGTAACGGTGCTTCTCAAAATCAAATTACTTTATCTGCTTTCTATTTGATGAAAACAGATTTTTCAAATGCTTATTTTTACAAAATTGACTGTAAAATACTGAAAAGCCAACTAATAGAAAGCTTAAAAAGGTTTCCATATGTCCGCAGCCTCATTTTCCGAAGTGAATAATCGCATCACTCTATCCTATTTTTATCAAACCTATATCAAACTGCCATTCAAAGTCATTGTACCACCGATAGACGAGTGAAATATCGCACTTATACATCCGACACTACGCACCTACATAATACAGCGAGCACGTATTTATTTCTCTTATTCATTTATCCGCGCAAGCATCGATCAATTGAATAAACATAACACCATGAATCCCAATTCCGAGGGAAGGACTATATAATGAAACTCTTCAGTATTACAATAATATTTGCCATGTGTTCCGAATTCCATGCAGCTTTCATCACAATCTACTTCAGTTTCGAAAAAAACTGTTTAATGGAATCATATCCACGTCGCCCAATCAAAGGCTAAAACCAATACATTCTTCAATTCACAAGGACTGTATTCGGATTCGACCACACCAATGCAAAACTATAACCACTTTTCTTTTCCAACGAAAATAGCTCTCCCTTCGAGCTGTGAGCAAAAGATGTACAAAAAATGACTCATCCATCGTTTTCCTAAACCTACGCGAACATTTCATCTGATACTAACCGAAGCGATCCATTTGAAGCAAATATCAAGCCTCAACCTTCCACTTCATGTTACAGCATAAACCCTATCCTACTCTATACCTTCCCATCAACTTTATCCAACACACCTGGCTACGTCTCTACTCCTCACCCTTAGCTCACCACCTTTCGTCGCACCTCCAGGTGCAGCGTTTGTCTGCCAGTGTGACATAAGGTGAGCTCTACTAAGTGAAACTTTATTCGTCTCACGATCAACTGCAGCCTCTGAGTGTGAGTGTGTGATTCGCTGGACGTCGTGCTTGGTGAAACTCCTTTCGTCGCACCCACACTTACGGTGTTTGAGTGTGAGTGTTGTTCCATGTAAGTCGTGTTTCGTGAAACTCCTTTTGTCGCACTCACACTTGCGGTGTTTGTGTGTGAGTGTTATTTCGTGTAATTCGTGGTTAGTGAAACTCCTTGCGTCGGACGTACACCTGCGGTTTTTGTGTGTCAGTTTTATGTAATGTAATTCCTGTTTCGTGAAACTCGTTTCGTCGCACTCACACTTTTCGTGTTTATGTGAGTGCTATTTCGTGCAATTCGTCTTTCGTGAAACTCCTTTTGTCAGACGCACACCTGCGGTTTTTGTGTGTGTGTTATTTCGTCTAATTCGTGTTTCGTAAAACTCCTTTCGTGGCACCCACACTTGCGACGTTCGTGTGTGAGTGTGTTTGGTGTTAGTCCTGTTTGCTGAAGTTCGTTTAGCTGCATGGACACGATTCGTGATTGCATGTGGTTGTACTTTGGTGTTAGTTATTCTTGGTGGGGTCTTGTTCTTGTTAGTTCCTCTGCTGCAATGATTTGTGTGTGGGATTTGCGCAGTTTTCATTTCCGTTTACAGTATCAGGGTTAAAAACTGGAGAGTAGAAAGTTCAAGTTTGAGATGTTGGTTGTGGACTTTAATAAACTTTTGATACTCACATACAAATATATAACATTACTGATCAATTTTTTCTCGTAAGAGTTGTTATAGAAAAACCGGGTGCGGGTGTGCGCGGGTGTGGACTATCTCTTCAAATACCGATACCTACACCCCCACCCCACACCCATACCCACACACACCCACACTCATACCCACACCCACACCCCACACTACACCCACCCACACCCACACCCACACTCCACACCCACACGCTAGATAGTTGTTGATGTATACTACAACTTTTGTAACGGGACCAAGTTGAGATTTCGTAAAATGAGAGCCGCGCATCAAATTTTCAATCACTCCTTGAAACTCCATATATTTTACATTAGGTGATCAAATTAGGAACTTGAAATAGCTTGTGTGATCGAATTAAGATCAGTTTCCTAATTTGATCATCGACATCATCATATTGTAATAAGAAAACCTCAATGAAGATTACACCTCTCAATAATAAAAAATATATAGGAATATAGATTTTGAGCTGAGGAATCGAATGATGTAATTTGTTTTGCAATTAGAGACACTTTTCATGTCGAAACAACTTTTGTCTTGAATTTTTCTATCGAAATAGCTGTAATGATCAAATTAGGAAAAAAAATACATGGAGTGATCGAATTAGGAATCGAGCAGAAGGGAAAAAAAAGTAGACCAGGTCTCTTTACAACGACTACTGCTTATTGAAAAAAAATTGGTAGAAAGGTAGAGAAATATTTTTTTCTATCCCGGAAACTAAAAAGTACTTTGAACGGATGTTGGGTAGAGAAGTTATGAGTTTTTTTCTAAAAAAAAAACATTCGTGATCAAAGTAGGGTTAGGCACTCTATATATTGTTTTTATAACTTTTGTATTGGAACACATATTTAATATTATTTTAATATATTATTCCATTGTTGATCGTTCTAATTCGTTATTAACAATTTTATATTGACTGTCTATTGCTTGATCAAAGATTAATGTTTGAACATTATCTTCTACTCGTCTTAAAGCATTTTCAACTACATCATTATCATTTGAAGCTCCAGCTCCACTAACTGATATTTTTGTTTCATGATTCAAAGTTGTTTGCTGTTGCTTTTCACTCTTCGATGCTGAACCATTTTCAATATCTGTTGTTTTATAGATTCTTACCGATTCAAATACACCCGATTCTACAAAAAGAATAGAATAAACGGTTAAATCCCACAGGATATGTTTTTTGATATAAGTATAAGAAAGAACTTTTATTTAAAAAAAAAATACTGATGTACTATTGATATTATTTAACCCACCCATTTTCTCTTCATAATTATTGTCATTATCCAAATGATCAAGTAAAGGAACAAAAGCATAAAGTTGATTATTATTTGATGGTCGAAATAAAAACATGATGACAAGAAGAATTAATGCAACAAGTATGTGCCAAAATGCATTATCAAACTAAATACAATTATTTTTATTGAACAGAAACCCAAAAGAAAAAAAAACAAAATTTTGTTACCCAAAAGTCTCTCCAATTTGTAAGACATTTAGTGAAAACATGTGATTTTAATGACCACACCCTAAATAACACAATTGCAATAATAGCAAATATAAGGGTATGTGTAAAATGTCGATAAACATTCAATTGAACAATATTGTTTTTTAAACGTAATATTCGTTTTGTTGCAGCTAAACCCGAAAATATCCAATAGTAAATCGGTACATCAGCAACAACCAATGCTATAAACGATATTATTACTTTATGATTTGTTTCATAATTTTTTGTATGTAAACGAAGCATTGCTTCTGTTATAGCAATTGCAAAATAAAGTATACCCATAGTAAGTACTTTTTGTTTTAATGGTCCTAAATGTGGTTTAACTATATCATAACCAAATGCAACAATAATAAAAAGCATACGTAACACAGTACGTCTTAAACAAGAAAGAACTTCAGCCGTAACAAAAGCAAAATGAACTTTATATCTATAGAAATTGAAAAATTAATATAGAAAATTATTTTTCTCTCACTATTTACCCATGTCGATTAAAAGTATCATATTCAACAAAAAATGCTGATTGTTCAATCATACCAATAAGAATAAAACCACCAACCCAAAATTGTATTATAAGTAATTCACCCCAATAGAATGCGCACCAAATAAACCATAATGTAGCAAACAATGCATAGATACCACACATGACACCATAGAAAACTAATGTTGGATATTCATCAGCTGTTATATAACCACCATGACGATTTTTCATTGTTACAATAACATCAACATCAAGTTCAGGAGCATTTAAATCAATAAAATTTCGTCGAAAAAGTTCAATAATATAAAAACCATCATTCCATGTTCGTAATCTATTTACTGTTTGTTTCCTTAAAATATATGTTAATGGAAATTGTTCATCATTTGATTTTATTATTGTTTGATCAGCAGCACGACGACGATGAATGTTATTTTCTAAAATATTAAATTTAAAGTTTACTTAAAAATAAATATTTAATTTTACGTTGATTTGCAGTCATTTGCTCACGTTCTTGTTTTACAAATTGTTCTATTAATTTTGACGCTTGTTCTGATGAAATTTCTGGTCCTCTTATATTGCTATATTCATCAAAATATAATTCTCCAGAATAATCACAATTGACTTGTTGCGTCTTAAAGATTCTTTGTTCCATTCGCTTCCATAAAAGCTCATTATAATATTGTAAAAGAAGTTTTTGTAGATCTTTATTATCTACTAATGGTAATTGATTTGTAGCCAAAGGTGTAGCAGCTTGTAATGGTAAACATCCAACAACACGACCAATTCGACCATATATTTGAATTTTTGTTTTTCCGTATTCTTTATTTAAATTTTTTTTAATTTGACCTTGAGTTTGATTTACATTTGCAGATGGTTCACGACAAAGAATTTTTAATTGAATTTGTGTATCATTAGTTAAAAAACGATCTTCTATTGAATGTGAATCATTAAGTGACCAAGACATTGTCACTGTTCCATCAACAAGAGTAGCCGAGGAATATTTTATCAAATAGAAAAATAATAAGGAAATGAGAAAATATGTTTTCATGATCATTAATCTGAAAATAAAATTTGAGAATTACCTTTGTTTTCTATATTTTTTTTTAATTTTATACGTTTGATGCACCGTCTCTCAGAAAAAACGTCATTTCATTCTATCTATCAATAACAGACGCACTTCTCACTATCGACATTTATAGAGAAAAGTTGGGCAATGAAAAAAATTAAAAGAATTCTAATTTATCCTAAATTAGCATAAGATAAGAAACAATTTAAGGCGCTAGTTCAATTCGTCGCAGACGATTCGTCGCGATCAATTCGTCGCGATCAATTCGTCGCGAACAATTCATCGCACGATCAATTCGTCGCATAACAATTTGTCGCGTTCTGTTCGTCGCAACAAATTCGTTGCAGACATATGATCGCACGATAAATTCTCTCGTCTCTCCTAATTAATTTTTTCATTCAAGAAAAAAAAATATTTAGATATTATCCAATTATATTTACGGTAGCATAAATTATATATAATACACAAGAAAAAAACGCAGAAAAAAATACATAAAATAGTTAGAGAAAGGTTTTCAGTTGAGATAGATAGTAATTACGCGTTAAATTTTTCCATTAAGTTTCCTATAACATGCTTATGTATTTAAATTTCATGAACTTGAAGGATCTTGGCGATGTAAATTTCAAATTTCGATTTTGCACGACGAATATTTTCTGTCAATTTAATGATGTTTCGATGATTGATTATTTTATATCACAAGTTAACATTTAAGTTTTTTTTATACTATTTTAGATTTCATGTAAAAAAATTTTTATGATTATTATTATTATTAGAACGACAAGAAATAATCAAAAGAACAACAAATTTTCAATATACTAATTTCTTCTTTTTTTGTTGTTTTGATTATTTCTTGCCAATCTAATAATAATAATTATCATAAAAACTTCTTTTACAAGAAATCTAAAACATTACAAAAACAACTTGAATATTGACCTGTAATATAAAATAATCAATCATCGAAACATCCTTAAATTGACAGTTTTATGTATTTTTTTCTGCGTTTTTTTCTTGTGTATTATATATAATTTATGCTACCGTAAATATAATTGGATAACATCTAAATATTTTTTTTTCTTGAATGAAAAAATTAATTAAGAGAGACGAGAGAATTTATCGTGCGATCATATGTCTGCAACGAATTTGTTGCGACGAACAGAACGCGACAAATTGTTATGCGACGAATTGATCGTGTGATGAATTGTTCGCGACACATTGATCGGTCACCCAATTTAACACTAATCTGATTTGGAAAAATGTTTCTTTTTTAGATACTCATCACTGAGAAACTTGTTCCCCTATCATGAAAGGAACTAAAATGGAATAATGGATAATAATAAAACATTTTCCAATAAGTAGCAGACGATTTTAACATGTTCTTCTTGAAAAAAACGAGTATATTATGCTCAAACTCTTCGCATGTCATCAGATACTTGATTGTTATTTCCACTCTTTTATGTGATGAGGTACAAGGCTTTTTTAAATTTTTTCATACATTGCAATCGCAAATCTTTTGTTCATGTTCACCTAATGTATTCATTTGTTTCATTTTCAATGAAACTAAAAGTATCCAAAAAAAAGCTGTTAGCGCAATCCCTTGCGGGATTAAAAATGTGAAACACGATGAATCTATTGTTACTAATGAAATAGAAATCCTTTTGTTCCGTTCCTTTGAGACCCATTTGTAGTTAACCGTTTATCTGATCCTTTACAAGTACAGCTTCTCTGTCACGGTGTGTGATGGGTACCCGGAATTCTCTATGACGGTCGGTGATAGGTACCCAGGGTTCTCTATCACGGTCTGTGATGGGTGTCGGAGTTCTCTGTCACGGTGTGTGATGGGTACCCGGGTTCTCTGTCACTGTCTGTGATGCGTGTCCGGGTTCTCTGTCACGGTCTGTGATGGGTTCTCGGGATTCTCTGTCACGGTGTGTGATGCGTGTCCGGGTTCTCTGTCACGGTCTGTGATGGGTACCAGGGTTCTCTGTCACGGTCTGTGATGGGCACCCGGGTTCTCTGTCATGGGCTGTGATGGGTGTCCAGGTTCTCTGTCACGATCTGTGATGGGCACCCTGGTTCTCTGTCACGGCCTGTGATGGGCCCACAGACCTGTCTGTCACGGTCTGTGATGGGTCCGGAGACCTCTCTGTCACGGCCTGTGATGGGTCCAAAGCCTGTCTGTCACGGTCTGTGATGAGTTTAGAGCCTTCTGTCACGGTCTATGATGGGTCCACAGACCTGTCTGTCACGGTTTGTGATGGGTTTAGAGCCTGTCTATCACGGTCTGTGATGGGTTTAGCACCTGTCTGTCACGGTCTGTGATGGGTCCAAAGCCTGTCTGTCACGGTTTGTGATGGGTCCAGACACCTCTCTGTCACGGTCTGTCATGGGTCCAAAGCCTGTCTGTCACGGTCTGTGATGGGGCCAAAGCCTGTCTGTCACGGTCTGTGACGAGTCCAGAGACCTGTCTGCCACGGTCTGTGATGGGTTCAAAGCCTGTCTGTCACGGTCTGTGATGGGTCTACAGCTCTGTCTGTCACGGTCTGTGACGGGTACAGAGCCCTGTCTGTCACGGTCTGTGATGGGTCCAGACACCTCTCTGTCACGGTCTG